CCTCCACGCCAGAACAGATTAACGGTAATTACATTGAACCTTATGGGAAAATTTGCTTTGGGTTGCGACCAATTCGGGGTGTGACCAGAGTCACGGAACGAATTAAGTTTGTAAACCGAGGTTCCACTGTACTAAGAAAAAAAGAAAACTGGTGCTAAAATAGAAATGGCAGTGGTGAAGTGGCTTAGGAGATAAGGCATATTTTTGAAATGTAAAGAATGTATCTACTCTCTCTCATATTATATGGCTATATCCATTCCACTTAAGACTAACTTATTTGTAAGTGATTATCACTACATATACCTGAGGATTGGGCAGTTTTATTTTTATTTGCATTTCCTGCATCAATATGTGGATTCTAGGGTTCTGTTCTGTACAGTACGATTCTTGGCTCACAAACAAGAATTAGAAATGATATAAAATATCTATTTTCAGATTGAATGGATAAGTAATTATGAATTTTAGGCTAAAATGCATTGGGCGCATATGTCTGTGTATGTATATATTTTACATCACTGATGGAAATAGAATGGATTTATGAATGAACAGTTTGAAACTGACATGAACCAAAATAAGCTCCATTCATCACATTCACTACTGGAGATCTAATTTGTTGGAATCTTGTGGAGAAGAAAATGGGCCTTATCAGCTCCAGGCTTGTTTTAAAAAGTAGCCATCTTAACTAAAACAGGGCAGATGGCTCAATGCAGGCCATTGATTTAATATTAAAAATCTATTATTCATAAAAATGTTCCACTTCAAATTGGTATCCAATTTTATTCATGTATTTTGTATCATTACTTTTATTCTTAGCTGAATGTTTACGCTACATAAAAGTACCCGTAAGTTTTCATGCTATGCTGTACAGTATTTTAGAAAAACAACACTACAAAATATGCAGAAGAAGAAGGGAATAAATTAAAGGTGTGTGTTACCTTTAAGGTTCACTGTGATTATGTTATTATCTCCAACCAGATATCCACAAGGTAGCAATTCTGGCACTTCTTGGTTATGGGCTCTAATTATATCACCTATGCAATAATTAGCTATACAGTCTGAGCTCAAACCAAGGCTAGTAGATGGATCTACTCGGAAAACATATTCCTAAAATAAATAAATAAAAAAAAGCAAATTGAAGTATTCATAGTTTGCAGTAACATGAATGAATAATTAACCTACCGGTTCATATGTCACCCTCACTACCACAATTTGCAGATAAAGACTATGCATTAAGTTTTAGATGGAAATGTCAAAGAACAAATAAATAACTCCCAAATTTCTAGTATTTCTTGTTAAATTTTATATAACATAATTATCATTACCTTGATTTCTATCTTGTCAGCTACCTAGATTGTTGGCAGCTTATAATAATAAAACACAACAAGTACTTAAAGACAGTCATCATAAAAACAAAAACCAGAGATAGACAGAAACTCTATCCCTTAACCCATGGGGAAAAAATACTTCTAAGGCATTTGGGCCAATTTATCACATGTGCAAATGAGGCTCAATTTACCCGAAGTGCACTCATACAATTCTACTGATACAAACTAGGATTTCTAATCTAGAAGCTAACTTGCAAACTGGCCTTTTAAAAGCTGGGAATGTAGGGCCTTCTGAAGCTCAAGTGGCAGATTTTTCCAGAGAAATGTGCAGCACTGGAAAAGGCTTGCTTCCTCACTCCTGCCCATCTAACTTTTGGAAGGTAGGAATGTGAAGCAACTCTTCCTAACTGGACCACACAGGATGGAAACATGTCATCTGGAGCAGACAGTCCCAAAGGTATTCTGGAACCAAGCCATATAGGGTTTTGTATGCAATAAATAGCACCTTGAACGGGAAACAAGAGGTAGCCAATACAGCACCATCAGTATCAGGGTAATCCTGCTAAAAAGGCTCTCACCCATCACAGTCATACTGCTATATTCTACAGTAGCTGAAGTTTCTAAATCATCTTCAAAGACAGCCCCAAGTACGGCATGTTATAGTAATCCAAGTAAGGACGTTTCTGTCATGGCCCAGGATAGAGATGTTCAAGAGAGTATTATCCACATATTGACAATTCCTCACCCTAAACCAATGGTTGAGTTCTCTTAGTGGTTTCATGTAGACATGCTTTGACATTTACTATAATATAAAGTATATGCAATTTAGCATGAGTAAAATAGATTAAACTAGACAAAGGTTGAACTAGGGTATTTGGGTACATACTGAGGATCTGAATGCATGTGTTGTCCATTTCACATATATTTCTTTTATTTGGATGCATGTTTAAATACATATTCTGATGGTGATCAAGCTTTCCATTCCAATGCACATTCTTACGTAACTTGAGATGGTTTAGCACTTTGAGTGAGGACAATACAGTCATCTTTGTCCTGATGTATTAGATTACCAGTTTTAATTACCTATAGATTTCTCAATGTATATTTTTCCTAACTGGGCACATGCAGATCAGAACTATAGAACCACATCCCACATCGTTTTCCAAAATTGCATTCCAAGTTCCACATCCAATCTCCATACATCCTGGGTCTGCAAATGAAAGTTTGTGCATGTATTCTTTCCAAATACTTTAAAATTTTATACTTCTGGAATTTTAGACTATATAGAAATCTAAATGCATTTAGATTTACTTAGCAGACATCCATGTTTAAAATGTAGGCATTAAGAGCAGACTCAACAGAAGCATATAACCTCCAAAATAGATGAATGGCAACAAATCTTATTTTTTGTAAGCTGCTTCTTTGTGTGAAGGGAATTTACTTGGCTCACAAATATAATTACATGTTCTCTGATTGGTTGAGATCATGTAGTGAAGAAAATTAAAACTTTCTTTTAATTAAAAGATGGCAAGAAAACATTAGAAGATCCAGGGAAAATAATGTGAAGAAGCATAGCAGTTTCTTTGGGGGCCTCTTTCCCCTCAAACACATATTTTTAATTAACAAAATGTTTGAGGGCTATTATTTGTTACAGGCTATCTTAAAAGTCACAGGAGATTTCAAACTCAGGCCACATAGGACAATTATTTTCAGTTAGACAACCTACCAGTTGTGCTTAAAATTAATTTTTAGCGAGACTTTGCATCTTGTAGAATGAGAATGTCATCATCATGGACTCAGTAGTTCCGTCCCTTGGCTTTTTATTTCATTTCTGCACGTAGAAGCACCACTAAATAATAGAAAACCTGTTGCCAGTTTTCTTCACCTTGGGTGTGATTCAAGGTGCTGATTCATTACCTATAAAGGTCTGCATGGCTTAGGGCCTGGTTACTAGAGGGACCACCTGTCTCCCATAGTATCTGCCCAGCTGATCCGAACTGGCAGGGTTAGCATGCTCTGTATTTCTTTAATGAAACAATGATATCTGTCAGGACCCTGGAAACGTGCCTTCTCTGGAGGGTTCCCCCCAAGATTTGAATGGCCTCCACCCTACTGGTGTTTTGAAGGACCCTGAAGACCTGGCTCTTCACTCAAGCCTTTAGCAAGTGTGATTGAAGCCTCATTTTCTTCTTTTTCTTTGTTCCCATCTGCTTTAGTTATCTTTGCCATCTTTACTCTTTTCTTGTATTAAGTGGTTTTCTTGTTTTAAATGTTTTTCTTAACATTTTTTAAACAACCAGTCACTGGGAGTCGGGCAGCATATAAAATAAATAAATAAATAATAAATAAAATTAGTATGTTTAGAAGGCTAGGCTCAAACTGTTTTCTCTCTTCCTCTTCAGGTGTTTTAAACTAGGATGGCTAAACTAGGATAAGAATGGATCTGTACATACTGATCTCACCACCACATCATGTTCTGCCCAAGGTTCTCTTCCTCTGCCTGAGTAATGTTTATATTTAGCTCCCCTTTAGACCTACTGATAATGGCTCAGCATTTGTAATCTTGCTGTTTAGGTGGGTTATATTTTCTTATGTGATTTAAGAACACCGGAAGAAGGTTCAGACATGGAGGTACTGGAAACTGTTTTCCATGGAACAGTATTCAGTTGCTAAGTTCTTATTCTTAGGGAGAAGGAAATTATTCTAATTACATTCAGCAGCTATCTTTTGTTTGGACATTCCATTGAATAACAAGTGGCTTTTATAAAGAAAAAAATAAACCATTGAAAACTAACTGCTTCTTAACCCAATGCCTGTCGGTTCTCAATCTTGAACTTATCTAAAAATAAATAGGTTAAAAAAAAGGTGAATGATCACACACATTCATCCTTGATGGTACTAGAGCAAGGTACTCTGGGAAAGCAAAACTTTCTGGCAAACAAATACTCATCTCACTGACCCTAATCAGTCTTAGATGTGAGTTTACAAAGCTCCGTTTATTGAACTGATCGAGAGGAATGTCTTGGCTCCTTATATAAGTTTTCTTTTTATTTACACATAATCTATTTGTTTAGGCAAACAGATCATAGGAAATTATCCTATTAACTGGTTGCAAGTATAGGGTTAACACAGCTGAGCTGAAAAACCTGGCCCACCAGTAGAGTTTTCTGGGTCTCTTTGCTGACATCTAGTAATCATTTGGATTTTTGCAGCTGAGATGTGGTAGCCCTAAATCTATCACAAAATCTGCTTGCTGCTCATTCTGCCAAACTTGCAAAATCTTACCTTAAAGAGACGTCTAATTACACCATCTAATACATCCCATTTTGTTTTACCACTGACCCTGATGGAACCTATCAAATATGCCTGCATTCTTTGGTCCTATAAAGAGAGGAGATAAATAAAAGTATTCAACACTTCAAAATATTATTTGGTTAAGCTTATTTAAGTATTTTCCAAAGACAAAATTATATCTTTTTCAGCTATGCTATAGATATCATAACCAATATGATGCAGACTTTATATTGAAACATTTCTTGATACAATTATGAATGCACATATTTCTGTAAAGTACAGCATAATTATACCAAAATGCCAGTATATCTCGGTGCCAATGTAAGTACAGGATGAGAAAGATAAAAAGGATTCATTCAATATTATCTGTTGTACTCTAAGCTGAATATATTGCTGATTAGAACAGAACAGACTTTAGAGCAACAGCGGCAGATACAGAAAGATAATTAAGATAATGATATGGCAATAAAAGTTGGAAGGCAGAATACCTTCGATCGACCGTAGCCCTTGTTTATTGTGACAATAATCTTAACGTTCTGGCCTTCTTTATGGAGAGTTCCATCTGCAACATCTTCCAGTAAAATATCTACACAAACAATAAATATAAGTGCTCTTTAAAAATAAAGTTAAATTTGTGTGAATATATTCTGTAAAAGGCTATGATTCTAATGGCCTATGATATTTTCTTTTGGTCTGCTGACAAAAGCAATAAGTCAATCATATATTTTGAATACATGGATTTTGTCCATATTTTGCCATTTGGAGTCAGATCCCAACTCAGGATGTCAGAATGTAATATGTGCAAGGAAATATTTCCAACTGTATGTGAGCACTTATCTACCTAATAAGGATGCATAGATAGATTGAAAGCCACCTCCCTCTGTTACTGAATATTTAAGCTGGTTAAGGTATTGAGAAATTAATCAGGATATTGTATCCAGTACAACCAACCATTTGCAGAAGAGTTCAGCTGAGTGCCAAGACAAAAATAATCAACATTTCAATGGTATTTTCATGTGGTTGATAGTAGGAAATGGACAAAAAGGAAAGGCAAGAATTCTGCTAAATAGACACTACTGTTCATTACATGACTGAGGAAAGATGAGAGTCACATGCAAGATGAAATGAATAATAGAAGGAAAATTCACCAACTAGCTTCAAGTATTTAGCAAGGATAACTCAACTGAAAATTATTATTCATATACAGTTTCAGTTTGGTAAAGAGCATCAGTAAAACAAGTTCATTTTTCAAGTCTGAAAAAAGGGTTAGGTTTTCTTGAATGAAAATTATGACTTTGAATCAGCTAAAAGGGTTATCTGTTTGTTTTAGGGCAAAAACAAGTTTGGCCTAGTAAAGATAATTTCTTCATCTTTGGTTGCCTATTCTGCTTGATATCATATATTAGGATCCTTAACATTTGTATTTTTTGGAACATCCATCATTTTACAAAAATAAAATAGTACATGCCTATTTAAAAGTTTGGGTTTACTGTATGAGAACTCCAGTATATTACTGTAGTTTAAGATGTAATTTTTAGATTGCTTTGGGATTTGAATCCAGATGTATTCTTAGAGACTTCTGGAGCCTTAGAGCCCAATCTACCTGTTACCTCATACCTGAGCAATAACATTCCAAATGTGACTGCCCCCTCAAAAAAGAAGAAAAGTAGCCACAAATAATAAGTAAAAGGCTATTAAATGCTGGTAACTTCTTGTTATTTAATATATGTCAACAATGAAAAAGCAGGATAACATGAAAAATATTAGAGAATACACACACACACACACACACTCAAGAAAAAATAGAAAAATGCACATTTAATGATTCCATATCAATATATTTTGCTGCATATGTATTGTATACACATAGGTTGTATACAAAGTTCTATTCTGCTGATGGAAACTTCCTCAAGTGAAGTCAGGAAACACCCAGCCAATACTACTTGCTGCTACTACTACATACAACTACATACAAGAAACAACATACTACTACATACAAGAAACAACAAAAAGGTAGTATGATATTTCAATTTTCCTTTATATGACAAGGAATTATTTCAACTAATTTTCAAAGTTGTAGGCCTCACATATAATGAACAGCTTTTCAAATTTAATTAAATTTCTCTATACTGTGACAATAAAATTGTATTTGGCAAGAAATCTGTAAGTGCGGGTGAATGTGCGTGGAGAGAGAAAGAAGTATGACATGATGCAAAAATGCTCGTTAAGAGAATATAACTTTTACTTACCAGATGTAACTGAATCTGTGATGTTTAAATTATTCAGAGAGAGACCTAAAGACTGTCGCGAAGAGGAAGAAGATGTGCTGCTTGAAGACTCTGAACATGGCCTGACTGGTTTGCCAGTGTTTCCAGTCTCAGCCTTCAAACGATCATTTTCAGCTTTCAAAATCTCAATTTCATTCTAGCATTTAAAATACAAGTAAGCAACAATTAAAGAAATGAATCAGAGAATTTTAATCTCTCTGGTATATTATAGATAATCATAATTTAACCATTAAAGCCAAACAGTGGGGTCCTTGGGGTTCTCTGAGCTTGGTTGTTTTCTTGCAAACGTTTTGTTACCCAGCTAGGTAACATCAGTGCTAGAAGGGAGTGGGGTTTGCTCTCTGTTTATATACAGTGGCTTGCCCTACCAGTCTGTGTGTGTGTGTGTGTGTGTGTGTGTTTCTCCCAGTAGTTCTTTGATTAGGGTATTGTTTACTGCTTGATCATCTGTCTGGTGATAATCTTGGTGTTAATCTCTGCTTATCTGGGTGATGATTGCTGGTGAGGAGGTATTCTGGTATTTTCTTTTACTGCTTGATCATCTGTCTGGTGATAATCTTGGTGTTAATCTCTGCTTATCTGGGTGATGATTGCTGGTGAGGAGGTATTCTGGTATTTTCTTTTTATTGCCTCTTTTGAATAGTGTGTAGATATTGTGTTGAATAGTGTATTGTGTTGAATAGTGTGTTGGTGGCTGCCTTGTCTGAATACACTATTCAACACAATAACACCAAGATTGTGGGTTTGCTCTCTGTTTATATACTGGGTCTTTCGGTTTACTTAAGATGTTTTGGAGGGATTTAGTTGGTTTGTGTGTTGTGGAGATGGCATGTGGTTGGAACAGTCTGTTGGTTGTTTCTGAGACATTTCTGATGTATGGCAGTGTTATCCTTTTCATAGCTCGTGCTGGTTGTGTTATAGTAGGTTGAGTGGTCAGGCACTCAATGATAAAGTTATCTGGATATCCATTTTGTTGGAAGATGTTGTATAGGTGGTCTGTTTCCTTTTTCTGCTGTTCTGGGTTGTGCTGGGGAGCATGTTGTTGTTTTCTTCTTCTCTGGTGAATTGTATTACTTTGAAGATGTTGATGGTTTCATGTGTCTTCTCTAGTTGTTCCTTTTTGTTCCTATTATAACAAAGGTGTCATCTACATACCGGATCCATACTTTTGGTTGTATACATGGAAGTCCTATAGCTTCTAGGCGTTGCATTGCAATCTCTGCTATGAGTCTTGACAGTGGTGATCCCATGGGTGTGCCTCTGATTTGTTGGTATATTTGTCCATAAAATAGGTAGTGAAGCAGAGGTTGATGAGGTCCATGATTCTGGCTATTTCCTACCTAGTTACCTAGCTGGGTAATGAAATGTTTGCAAGAAAACAACCAAGCTCAGAGAACCCCAAGGACTCCACAGTTCAACTCTGAGCTACATATAGTCTCTTCTATAAAAGCCAAACAGTTAACACAGATGCAAAAATATAGAGAGAATTTTCATTAGTATAGCTGGAACTTTGGGGACATCATATTTTTCAATTGTATCATACAGTTGTAACTATGGTGTAAAATAATACCTATCTAATTCAATGACAATTAGCCTTGGTTTACTTGCATTATTAAGATGCATTCAAGTAATAATTTAAATGGAGATTTCATGGAATTAAAAATAGCCTTAAACAACTAAACCGAATCAAACTGAGGATTTATTTCCTTCCATTGAAAACACCAGTTTCAGAAGAAGGATGTTTCTCTATATTATCATAAGGGAAGAAAGGGTTCAGTTCTTCCTTTAGGTCTGTGGAAGTCACAAAAGTTATCAACCCATCAAACTGATACAGGGGCATTAAAAAAAACAACCACTAAGTTAAATACAAATATTCTAATTTGGACAGCAGTCATTCAGTTAGTTTGACAGTTACAACTATTACTTGACTAGACAAATGTTGTAAGTGAATGTTGGCAAAATTTATCCACTCCCTAAGTAATCACAGCATACAGGACATGGAAAGAAGAAGATCTAACCTAATACAAATACAGTTGCATACAAAAGTTTTATTAAATTGTATGCTTACGTGAGTCTGTAAAGGACAAAATCTGTACAACTTTCTGCATATGTTGAAGAAGATTCTCAGTCATCCAGGTGGAATTATCTGGAGGTTGAGTCATGGCAATTGGACTTCTTTTCTTTTGGTCTGATACGTTTCGCTGCTTGTCCAAGCAGCTTCTTCAGTCTTGAACTTGGACAAGCAGCGAAACATATCAGACCAAAAGAAAAGAAGTCCAGTTGCCATGACTCAACTTCCAGAACTTTCTGTATATTTACTATTTTATGTGCAGGTCTTTACAATTTCAGAATAAGAAAAGAGTGAACAAGGCAACTATTTTATGTGCAGGTCTTTACAATTTCAGAATAAGAAAAGAGTGAACAAGGCAGCTTCTTCAGTCTTGAACTTGGACAAGCAGCGAAACATATCAGACCAAAAGAAAAGAAGTCCAGTTGCCATGACTCAACTTCCAGAACTTTCTGTATATTTACTATTTTATGTGCAGGTCTTTACAATTTCAGAATAAGAAAAGAGTGAACAAGGCAAGTGGAGAAATTAGGATAAATTACCCTAGCAGTAAATATTATATAATTTCTCCTTTGGTGGAATAAGAACTTCTGAATGTTTCCTGTGGCTGAACGCTTCTAGTTCAGAAATATCCTTAGCGTTTCTTGCTTGCACTGTATTTTAAATACAGTATCTTTACACTACATTAAAAATCTCTCCACAGATTTTCAATAGCATCCAAGTATGGGGATTGTGCAGGCCAGAGTCGCTGGGAGTTAGGTGGCATAGAAATTTAATAAATTATTATTATTATTACATCTCTTTTACTAGATATAGATATTAACTGAAATTTATATTGTTTTAACTTTTGGTTTTGAATTTTTATTTTTATTCTAGTATTTCAAAAATTAAGCAAGTCATAAATAATACACTATATTTTGTCCTTTCCTCCTACTGGAATTGTTTTATTCTCTTTGTTTAACAGACTTCTGTGACAATCAGGTCAAATCAGCTTTTCAATAACAGAGGGCTCATAGCTCCACAGGTAAGAGAAACATTTTATCACATTCTTGGAACTTGATTTCACGTTGGTCTGAATTGTTGTGCTCTCTCCTTCATTTTCACACTTTGAACATACAGTAGCTTTGCAATCATATTAAATGCTCTAAAATAGTAGGTGAAGTAATACCTAGTAAATGTGAAACATACAAATTTGTCCATCCTTACCTGATGAACAAGAAAATCATAGAACAAAAAGACAACATTAAATGGTTGGAGTTAGAGCCATAGCATTAAGCAGCTATGAAAAGCTTCAGTTCTAAAAAATTGATGTAGTTCTGATTGAAGCAACCAGCATGCTTCTAAATCCCCAGAAGTCACTCCGCTTTTTGAGTAAGTTATCTCCTAGCAACATTTAGCAAAAGAACTGACAATCATAGAGAATTTCTGCCAATAACGAACACAGGGATGCTATGCAAGATAATATTTTTTTAGAAAGAGAATGTTCAATCTAATTCTGTTATTTCATCTAATTATTTTTCAATCCCAGAAGAAACTCAGCTGTATGTTTGCCTTTGATCCCATTTCAAGGTGCTGTTCAGTTCAGGGTGATTACAGGAGGCCTTTAAAGAAATAGCTTTTTTGAATAATGCTCTAATCAGTTGTTCCATGGAGCTGACCTGCATGCGGTTCATGGCTTCCCGAATTTGGTCAAGATGATGGGCAGAGCTGAGGGCCTCCAGACGAATATCTGTTAGTTTGAGCTCTTTCTCCCTGAGCTCATTTTTCAGCTGCAGAATTATTTCTGCCTCTGCTTCTGTGCATTCACAGATCCTAAAAAAGAGAAGAAGGTAAAGAGGCAGAAGATTAAAGGAACATTCTCTTCTCAAGGCAGAATGTTATTATAGTATATCAAAGAATCAGAAAGGGTTTCTGCTGCTGATTCCTAGGAACAGGAGGGAGAATTTCATCAAAGCAACGTGAGTTAATTCAGTTTAAAAAAATATGAAAAGGGGAAATAATATCTAGATAAAATTATAAGGTTGCTTTTACAGATTTCCTATTTAGTTCCTTTTATAAGACAAAACAATGATGTTTTTTAACTCCAAGTATAGCAGGACTGTATTTTACAAATCATTCCTATATTAAACAGTAGCATTGCTTTCATTAAAAGTAAGCAATTTCCAAAATAGTAGAAATTAAAAATTCATTGCTGATATTAAACTATTACTTTTACTCTGTTGGTGGGGTTTATCAGGTGATTTGTCTTTCAGTCCAACACATGGATGATGAAGTTACAAAATACTTACGTTTAAGATCAGTATGTGTGAACTGTCTCAACTGACTTTTTATGGTGTTAAAAGTGTCTATGCTATGCCTGTAGCATTTAATCTGTAACTATTTCAAAAATGCATTCAACATTTTCCATAAGTTGTGCTTATGGAATTTCATATTTCATATGTAAAATAGGAAACATCTGTGCGTGGCATAACAGATAACAGAAAGTATGTACACATGAAATCATTCTTCTTTTTCTGAAATCTAAGAAATTCAAGTTTTAATATTGAATTAAAACTGAAAATTCCATTTTTAATTCCTTCTTTTGGAGCATAAAAAACATGTCCTTTCTGCTCATTATTAAACTGATGTAGAATAGCAACCATACCATTGTTCACATAACCTTCTATACCCATTAGTTTATTCTACAACATATTATTGATATACTGTATTTTCAAAGCATGCCTGCAAACATGTTTGGGGAGAAAATAGAGAACATCCTTCTAGCTCTTGGATAAATAACTCCAAGCCCCTTGTGCCAATTTACCGGGATCTATGCTTGTAGATCATGGGACCATTTTGCCTTTTCTTTGGAGCCCAGATTAGAGATGACCTGCATATACACGCATTAGACAGACAGATGCAAGTGAAAAAAAGTAAAGGAAATAGTTAAGAAAATAAGAAACCAAGAAAGAAACAGCCTTAAAAAATGCAGTAGAATGGAAAAGCAAAAGCTTTAAGAGGGAATGGTAACTAAGTATGGAGATTATGCCACAGTTTAAACAACTCTTGTTTATGCCAGTCATATCATGCTGAATGTGTGAACAAAATAAACCACAATGATCAAAACCAAAATTTTCAGGTGAAAGATCTGATGTGCAATTTTAAGGTTTTACTGTGTTCGGTGGGATTTATATCAGCATGCCTTGGGATGCAGTTTTTACATATAAGATTGCTATTTTATGATAAATTTAAGGCACATTTAATCTGCCATTTCAAGAGAAATTGTCGGGATAGGATATCTTCCTTGACAGGCTAGTTTTGAATGTGCAAAAAGATTATGTCAGTATGTCAAAACATTCAAATATTTGATATCTGCCTCTGCCCAGTTTGTAATTTGAAGCAATGCAACTCAGCAACAGCTATATCACATAAGGAATCACGACTGCAGTATTATAGTGCATAACTGTGAAGTAGAAAGAAAGATAGAAAATCCCTTTTAACACGTCGCTGCATTTAATATATATGTTGAAATGAGTATCGTTTCTTGATCCACCAGCAGTAGAATGTTCTGCAAAGTGGCAAGTGTCATGCTTCATGCCAGCATGATTGTACATTTAACTCTATAAACTCTCAACTCTCTTCCATCTATCCTGGAATTGATCTATTTGGCAGCAGATTCTGAAATATCATTCAGCTAGTACATGTATTTTATCGCAATCAAGAATGAAGCATATTACAATAGATCTGCCTACCTCAGTATTCAGCAGTCAGAGCCTATGTCTATGCCAATGCTCCAGGGTTTACGTTTTAGGCTGCTTCCTCTACTTTTCTATGTTAATGGATATTTGGCCATTTTCTTCTTGGTTACAGAAGGCAGCTGGGATATGTTGTCATAATGGTTCTTACTAGCCTGGGAACTGCTGGACCATGCTACACCAGCTTCATTCCTAACAGCAAGCATCAAAGTTATTGTATTCATGGTCAAAAGAGTTTCAGGTGAACAAAAGGGGACATATGCATTCTGATAAGAAAGAAATGTGATTCAAGAAGTTGGCAGGGTATTGTGAGAAATGCATATTTTTGACACAGTTCATTTGAAGTTGGCAATTCATTATAAATCAGGAATGGCTCCTTCTTTCTCCTACCTTATTGACTGGATTTCATTGCATTCACGTGCATACTTACATGAGTATGTGTTTTATCAGACTTACTTTGCTTGTGTTTGAGCAAAACCAAGCAGAATTATTGTTTAGAGATTTTTGCTTACTATTGGGAAGTAGTGTCCATAAGAAATGTAGAGGGGACAGCTATACATCCAGGCTGTTCTTCCTATAAATTTTTAGCATCACACATTTACCCATGTGAGTAATTAAGTATCAGAAATGCCTTAAGGCAGAAAAGAAAAATAGCAAGAAACAATGTGCAGAATATATGGATAACAAATGAATTAAAAAAAAAAAGCATAGCAAAGTGGAAGCAAGTGTTAAAAAAAAAGAACTTAATATGAAATGTAAGAATAATGGTGGGAAAAGGGCAATGTTTCTATGAGATAAATACAGGTAGACCTTGCTTAACAACTATCCTATTTAGTGACCGTTCAAAGTTATGATGGCACTGAAAAAGTAACTTTACGGCCGGTCCTTGTCACTGCATTCCCAAAGTCACCTAATTGACATTTGGGCACTTCACAACTGGCAGGCATTTACAACCATCACAGCATCCCGCAGTCATATGATCACCATTTGCACACTTTACAGCTGTCTTTCAACAAGCAGAGTCATTGGAGAAGCCAACAGTAAAATTATAAGTCACAGTAACATGATGTCTCACTAAATGACTGCAGGTGATTCGCTTAAGAACCGCAGTGGAAGTGACACTGTAAGTCAGGCACAGTCACATGATGTTTTGCTTGACCACATCACTTAGCAACAGAGTTGCTGGTCCCAATTGTGGTTGTTAAGTGAGGACTACCTGTAGAGAATTAAGATGGCTTGAATTTAAAGACAGAGGCAATGCTTCTTGGAACCACATGATCACGTTTCAGAAATAATAGTGACATATTTTCCAAAAATATTCCTTAGAAAAATTGACACTTTTGAAGATAAACTTTTCCAAAAGAGTATAAACATACAGAGAAGTTGATTGGGATGGCCTGATTGAAGTAGATCCACAATCTCCAGAGCTGTGAGGTAATTTAGGTGAGGATGGAAGAGATGAATCTGTGACTTCTTCTATGTCAGAATGGGAGGAAGGAGGTTTTGCAGACTTCTTCTTCCCAAAAGCTTGTTTGAATGAACTCCTCAGCTAGGAGAAAAGAAAGGAACATCAATGGATGAGGATTATTTTCAATGATTTAGCTCTCTTCATATTTGAAAGAGCTCAAATATATTTTTTTTCATATGAAAAGTTAGTTTGCAGAGGCCAATCTAGCTACTACCTGAGGTAAGTATATAGACAAAGCAGGATTAACATGTGCAACACAGTATCTTTAGGAACATGACAGTGTGCTTTTTAAAATTAACTGAGCACTGTGTTATGGGAAATCTGCACAATCACTGATACTGATAAACAGATACTCATTTAAAACCCCACACCTCCTGTGAAACACCATCTCTCTGGCATTCACTCTGAGATGATCAGTCTTAAATAAGTACATTGTTTTTATTTAAAAAAATCATTGGCTTATAAAATACATTGAATTCCAATCAATATGATATTGTGCATTATTTCAGGGAGGAGACTTTTTCTCCCAGAAACATTAGACCTTATTATTTCTACAGTAGCACTGATCAGAAATAAGCATATTGAAGCTGAAATATGTTTGCTTTTTGGCTGACAAGAAGCTGAAAGGGTTGGGAAAGAGAAGGCATTTGCTGCAGTTCTTTTAAAGAAGCAAGTTCATGTATGCAAGCATGGCCTTTATTATCTAGAAGCTCTTATTCATTATTGAAAGGTTCAGAATAGCCAAACAGCCATTTATTTCAGTGGTTGAGATGGCAAAAGCTAGGTTTGTAATAAGCACTATACTTTTATGTTTGAGCTGTCAAAAGCTTCTTATGAACAAACAAGTTACTCAAACAAAGGAAAAAAAGTATGGTTCCCCAATAGTTGTTTTATTACCTGAATGATTCTTCAGCTAAACTTTGGAACATTTTCTTTCATAAACATCAGTTCAAGAATAGAATTGGATATATGTGTCTGTTTTGTTTGCTGGAACTTCAATTTATTTGAAGTATATATTTATTTCCCTCCTCATCAGAATTTTTTACTTCTGTTGATAAAAATATCAGCTCATTTTGTATGTCTTTCTCTTAATATACATATTTTGGTATGCCATTTTCACTAGCACCTGCATTTTTATAATAATAGCTGCTAATATCCACCATTTCATATGCAGTTTTCTCTGATGTGTGTATTTTGGCCGACATTTTGTTTGGAGAACTGCATTGCACTATTTGGAGAAGGGCCAAAACAGAGGAAAAAATTTCATTCCAGTTGGCATATTACTTTGGAAAGCACAAATCAGGTTGGTTTGTATGAATGTGAACCAACTTTCTCTTCCATCCCTATTCAAGAACTGGGAGGTTAAGAACTGATTAAACATTATCCAGTGTTTCTTTCCCTTATTTTATGTGTTCTAATAAGAAAGAAATGGATTTTGGCGACACTTCCCCTTTCTAGATTTCAAAGTTGGAGGTAAAATGAATAGAGAAAAACTAAGGAGACATAAAGAATAATATTTCAGAAGGGTACAAAAGCCTACTGCCATAATGAATAGCAATCATGCCAAGATAGAGTTCTTTGAGATGCATGCCAAATTTTCCAGGGTTTTATATTCACCTCACTTCCTCTAGAGTTCACCTTGCAGAAACATGAAAGAGTGTGCAATTACAAATCAAGGGAATGACGTTGGAATCAGTATTTTTTAAAATATTACCTGTGTAATAAACATATTTTAAACAATAAAAGTATTTTCCTATTCTTATTTCAGTAAAATTCGAGTTCTCGTAGTATCTTTCTCAATTCAAGCCCTTTATCTTTAAGTTTTCAAGATATTTACTACATTTCCTTCACGGTACAATAAATTATCAAGGGTGTCTACAGAGTGTGGTAAAAAAAGACAGCAACTGCAACAATGCAATCAAAGTTCTGCCTGTTTTTTATGCATGACAAACATTAAAAAAACAACAACAGTCCAAGCTTCAGTTGCACCTTTGTGGCTGCCATCTTGACTTTTTTGCCATATTCCATGGACACTCCTATAAAGTATTCTGGACAATTAACATATTTTATATAGTGAACTGAAATACAGGAACTTGTGAAGTCTGCTATTATGTAGTGATCTGCATTTACTTGGTACATCACTAGATTAAGGTGCAAAAAAAAATTATACCTATCTACTATATCAGCATCAACAGCTACATTTAAGAAGGACATTAAAACAGCAATTTACATGGATCATTATGTTATTTATGAAGCAAAGAATTATACCAGAAAAAAAAAAACAGGCAGTCCATTTAACTCTATAGAGTACTTACCCAATTTTTCTTTTTCTTTTTCTTAGAGTTAGCATCATTACCACTCCCCATGCTTGAATGGCTTGTACCACTATTGATGCTGGAAACACTTTCAGAGGAATGTTGTCGCCTTATTCGCAAATCTGTAATATAAAGAGGAAGGGAACAGTGTGGACATATCCTTTTTCCCAATGTAACTCTTTTTCTAGTGTTTCAAATGTTACCTTAAACTCTCCTATATCCTTAATTCAGTCTATAATTGTGACTATTTAAGAAGAGATATAAAGCAATTAATGCATCTCCTGATTATTCTTGTTTGCTTGTTTTTCTAAAACTAGAACAGGGTTTAAATTCATGGAGCAAAAACATAAGTTTTGCTCTCCTCTGAAAGTTCATTTCCCCTCCTGCTCATATCTGTAGGAACATCACGTGGAATGGCTTACAGATTAGGGGGGATACTTAATAAAAATGGTTCTTGTGCGAGGAGAAACTAAGGATCCAAGTCAATGTGCATAATTCAGCCAAAGTTTTAAACTAAAGCAACCACACGCTTCATATTCTTACTCGGATAAATATGGTTTAAAAGTGCTGGAAGATATGACAGACACTAAAGGAAGCCCAAAGATGATAATTAAGAGAATCATTCTAAAACTCTTAGGTTACTTGCTAGCGGTGGTTAAAATATGGTGCAGAGGGATTTTACAGAGGCCACATTGGACCCAGAGAGGTCTAGAAACGGAACAAAGGCAAGTATAGACCTAGAAATCTGATGGGTACAAAGTGATTTGGTTGCCCCTGAAAGGCAGCATGATCCTGGCTATGCCACCCTGGTGATGGCATTGTTTATTCCATCTCCCAACCCCATTTATTGTAAGTGGATAGAAAACTGAAAAATTCAGCAAAACTGCCTTTCCATGTCTTCCACATTGTTGGCTTGAGCTACGGAGGATTCTGACACCCAAACAGTTGCGTCATGCTATGCCTCCACTCACGGTTGCTTAGTAATGCCTCAAAAGAAGCCCGAATCTTTGGAAATCCATGGAGTTGCACTTTTTTAGATATGGACACGTTGCAAATATAAATAATTTTCATATCGAAGTATCTACAAACTAGTAGGCACAAGTACCATTCCTTTACAAAAACAGCTGGTCATTCAGCGGTTCTCCAGAGAGGAAATAAGGTCCCAGCACAACCATGGAAAATGCTGCAGAATTCCATACCTCTGGGAGGGTGGTCAGGGCCATTCAAAGCTCCTTGAATAGCAGCTTGTGCAGCCGAGTTCTGAGCTTTCAGCATTTCAATGGTTTCCCGTAGTTCTATGAGTTCTGATTCCTTTGGGAACAGGAGGGAAAGGCTCAAAATGTGTCACAGTAATCATGTTTTATCCTCTGGGGTAAAAACACACAAAATGGAGTGAAAGTAAGGTGTGGGTGAAAAATGTAGGTGAAACTATGGTTTCATGTATGCTTCTTATCTCAGCTAATAAAATGTCAACGTCCTTAGGGGGGAAGTTGCAGTATTCATCTCTAAAACCTGCTGCACAGTAACAGGTTTTAGAGGGGAAAGTATACACGTTTGTGAAGACATGCATTATACTTCACGGGTAATGCAGGGACAAAATGGGCTATGAAATAATTTAATAAGTGTAATGCACGCTTGAAATTCAATCCGTTTCTGATATTGCTGTTTCCAGCTCTCATTTTATATAATAAAGATTAAAGTCGTTTAAAACATTTATCGCTAGTCAAATCAAGACAGTTTTTTTTTTTTTAATGCATGTACTCGGATATTTAGAAAAGCTTATCAAGGTCAGTGTCAGTACAGTAAAACGTCGATTTAACAGACCATTTTGGGGGGAGGAAAGTCTGCTCGCTCCATTAAATTAAATCTAAAATTATGTCATTTGTTTAAATTTACATCACTTGTGTCATTCTATAATTGAATCATTTGTCATTTATATCAGTGTTTCTCAACCTCAGCAATTTTAAAATAGGTAGACTTCCAGAATTTCCCCATCACTCATTTTTCCCATTTATTTTCACTTTTAAGGTTTCAGACATTTCTTTTTCTATGTATCCAAACTGAATTCATTCATTGTTTCCAAGATTCTGAATGCAAGATCTCCCAAGTAAATAGTGATAGAACACAAAAAAATAGAAAAACAATGTCTCTTTTTTTCTGTTTTATAGTTTTTCTTTTTGATAAACTACACATTCCTATAAAGTTGCTATCACTTCTGGTGGGAGACTCAGCTATACTTTTCCTGGTGGGAACCTCTCTGGTTTGGTTCTATTACATGAGTTTTTTTTAGCACTGAACAACCTGTCATTTACAGGCAATTTTAAAAAGTGCACAGATAACAGCCTAACAGCTACTGGAATTAAATATAGCTTTTTTCTTGCCAGTTTCACTGCTCTCCCTTTTTTTCACACTATCAATGTTGGGTAATTTTTTGTAGCATTCTAAATAATACACACACACACACACATACACACACACACACAAATGAATATAAAGGGGAATTTGATTTACTTAATTTTTCATTCATTTTTAAGACAAATTTGCATTCCTATAAATAAATAAAGATGGGACTGCTTTTTTCTTTTCTTTTTTTACAATGGCAAAACACAGGCAAAGCTATGAAAATACTATGAGGTTGGAAAAACTTCTTGGAAACCAGACAAACTCTTTCATGAGTTCTTTAGAAAACGATATACTGTAATGCCAAAGTAATTCATAAACAAAGCAAGAGCTAGTCACCCAATGCAACATAACATTATTATGCCCTAAATTTATATATAAATTTTAATTCATATATACGTGTGTGTGTATATATATATATATATATATTCAAATTAGTATAGCCACCCATTTCACAGAAAAGTGATTATATATAATATAAATTATAAATATATCCTAAATCCTAAATATCCTAAATTTACATGTCAGGTATTATGCCAAATATTCTTAACAGTAAAGTCAAGCTAAATCTACCTGTCCTGTCCCCTCAGGACAACACTGACTGAAAGACTAAAAAGCAGGGTTATTTTCTTCTCCTTGAAACACTTTTGTCTAACATTTAGTATTCTGATAATGCTCCCAGACTGGAACAAGTAGTCCTGTTGGTTTATAACCAGCTTTTGTGCTAAATCTTTCAATACAGATTAAATCCAGACTCACAAATGTTTTAATTAAAACCTGAAAATGAAAGATTTTATCTTCACTCTTCTTTCTGATACAGCTTGCTAACTCTAATGATGAGTAGTGTGATTCTCACAGAGCCTTTGTGAAGCTTTGATAGCATGGTTCGTGAATGAAAGATGCACCAGTTTGTTTATTCTCATACTCCTCCTTCAGTACAAACTCTAATATAAGTCAGTGACTTTAGATTAAAGCATCTGCTGGTTCAGACATACCTTTTGTTCAGCTGTCATTGTTAGGCTTTGCAACCGGCCTGTCATATTCCCTAAGCTCTTTTCAAATGCGGCTACAAGATGGGCCTATGACAAATGGGAAAGCATTCAGATGTAATCAGGATTTAAAAGCATTCAATAAAATTCAGAAAATAAGCTTGAATATATTTTTGCCATCTCATTATTTCCAATACAAGTCTGCTTAAACTTACATGCTAACTTACAGTAATTTCTTCAACCACACCCTTACCTGCTCAAATGTATATATTCCAAATTTAATTTCACATTTCTTCCTCAAATGTGTGGAAATATTTCAGGCTTCCTGTGAGCGCCATGGCGAGTTGAGGTCTTACTGGTTTTCTGGCTAGTAAGACAGCTTTTGTGAGGGAAATCATGGCTGGATGTTGGATCCAGGCCAGCGTAATCTCTCCGGATCAAAAGAAAGATCATCCATGATGATTCCGGACAGCCACTACTTGTGAGTAGAACATGGAAACTGTCATTTTATGGTTGGCTTATGAGTGAGTGAGTAGTTGGGAGTCAGGATTACATCAATCTTACACTCGCGAAGCAGCCTTATGGACGCTAAACTTGACCAAAGATTATATCTTCATCACTTTTGGGATTAATTTTTTATATGTTGTATATTGGAGAGATTAAGTCCCTTCGGATCAGTAAGGTTTTACTGTATCCATCAGGTGGTCCTCCACCTCCTTAAAAGATGATGTTGTAAATTTGATCTTAAACATTCTGAAAATATATTTTTAATTTTTTAATTTTTTAATTTATTTATTTTGGGCTATGCAGCAAAAGCGTGCTTAGTATATGGATTTTGGAAAGTTAATAATAGATTAAGGGAACAGAGAAATTTGGAATTATAGTTTTGAATTTATCAGAATATATCTCCCCATGGGAAAATGGTGATTTCTTCTGTTTCTTTGTGATAAGGAGACCCTGAAGGTTGAACATTACAGGGAGCCAGAGGACAAAGAAAATGGAGCAGAAATCCTTAGTGCAAATTTTAAATACCTCTCAGGAAAATTACTGGATAGAATGGATCAATTGCCTGAAAAACTGGGTAGAACGTGCTTTAATGAAGTTGTAAAACAAGAGCAAGTTGTAATGGATGTTTATGAAATTAATATGAAGGAGGACTTAAATGTAATGCAAATAGATTCGATGGATGATTTATCCCCTAATGGAGATGAACAGTTATTAAACCAGGAAATTGATTTGGATAATTTTTTCTTCTGGATATACAAACGAGCTCTGCTAAAATTTGGAAAGACTTTTTTAGAAGTGACAAACAAAAGGATAAACTTTATCTAATGGACACGCAAAAGAAATCTGTTAAAGTTCTGAAGGATTTTTATTTGGATACTCTGATATCAGCAAATTACCTCTGGGACTTTTTTTGAAGAGATTAAAAAATAATTTTAAAAATGTAGGGAAAGTTTATAAGGTTGGCTTGTTTGATCAGGGCTAAAAGAGGAAAATAGTTATATATGGCTGCCCTTACTGGACTTTTGCTGACAAAGAATGATTGACGAAGCATTTGGATTTGTTTTGTTTTTTGTTTTTGTTTTGTTACTTAAGAGATGATTTATGGGGGGAAGAGAGAATATGTTTTATTTAGAGATGATGATAAGCTATACAATTGTTTTTACCTGCTAGGATAAAGGGGGAAGTTAGTTTTTCTTTTTTTCTTTTTCTTTCCCTCCTTTTTTTTTCTTTTCTACACTCCCCCCTTTGTGTGTGTGTGTGTGTGTGTGTGTGTTTGTTTCTGTGTTTGTATTTTTTGTACTTTGTATTGACTTTTATTCTTTTCATTTATAATTCTTAATAAAATTATTTGAAAAAAAAATGTGTGGAAATATTTCCACAGTAGATTGCTGGTCTTCATTACCATTTTTTTGTTTTGCTTTGTTTGTTTTAACAATACCAGAAACCTTTGGCAAACACTTGCATTTTCAATGAAAGTTTTAAGCGAGAGGATCTATAGTAAAAGAGGATAAGGACTAAATTATATGGTTTGCTAACCAAGTTGCAAACAGCTGCATTTCTATGTTGTCTTTAGGCTAAAATACTGACTGAAATCACAGTGAGTGGAGCAAGGATCTTAAATTTCCCCCATTTGCTTTGGAGAATATCTTCCTCATATGTGAATTTTTTAAAAAAACCTATTGGCACCTCCTGTATTCATACAGAGTAGTTTCAATCAGGATCAACTCCCACCCCCTTTATTTGAGTCTCCTTGAGTAACATCAAATAAAACAAAAACAGCAGTGACATAATACAACGGTCTATGAAAAATATATATATATATTGGAAAGATGGTGAAATCTCTACTGGCCCTATAGCCGCATACTTAATATTCTGGCAGCTGTAACAGCAGAAACAGGGCATCTGGGATGTTCTGGGATCAGATCTGGAAAGATTTAGGATCTGTAAGATATTAAGTATTTCCATTTCTCTGGCAGGGCACAAGAATGAAGACTGGTATATAAGAACTGCAAATATTTTGCACCCAGCTGCCTCTTTCCAAGTGATTTCCAATATTGTCTCCTGCATGGATAATGTAGGGAGTGGGATTTCCTTACTTTAGTCCTCATCTTTGATTATACCTGGCCTACATATAGTTTCCCATCTCAGCTCTATAAATTAACACCCTATTGGAGCTTGTTTTTCCCCCTTTCTGCAAGTCCTGCTATACTGACTCAGTGCGGTGCAGGGATTTCCTGGGAGAGATGAAAGAAGAACGTCGGGAGTGTATGTCAAGAGTATATATTCCCAGCAGGGTCACCCAAGGTGTGAAGCAAGTAGGCTCCTAAACTGGGCATCAGCAATATAGGAAGATGCTGGAGGCAGATGATCACTTTAGCAACAATGGCAAAGGCATCAATTCATGCTGCATGGGAGAAGGCAATGGTAAATCATTCCCATATTTTTACCAAGAAAACCGCATGGATAAAATCTATCTATGCGGTTGCTAACAGTCTACTCCAACTTGATGACACATAATCAATGTTCAATGTTTAAGTCTTTTCACCACTTTCTATGCTTAATCATTGTATTTGTTCATAAACTCAAATATTATAAAATATTTCAGACAAAAGCAGCCAGTAATCATTGTGCCCCTGGAGCTTCTCATTGATCCAGGAACTATAATAATAATAATTTCTTTGTATGGAGTTCTGTTTGTTAGAACAGTGAAAAGGTTTTAACATGTTTTTATGCATTCTCAGACATTTGTGTTTTAATGTCCCCTTCCTTTTTTGTTTTGTTTTGTTGATGCTGCAGCTGCTTTTGTGCAGCTGGGACTTAAATACACTTTCATGATTTATGAGCAGAATTTATTAGTACACTCATGTTGGAAGAACTCGCTTGACATTTGTTTGTGATGTAACACATTTAAAACCCTGGATATCATCTCTAATACTTTTTTTTCCTAAGTGGCAGTGACAGCAATCTTTCTCACAGATTTACTGTGGCTATATATACAGAATAAAACTATATAGAAATTGTTAATTATGGTAATAAATAACTTACATTTGCTGACAGTTGTGATGTTAGGGTGGCCACTTTTTCCTGAGATGCAACCAGTTCCCGTCGTAATTTATGAATTTGCTGGATATGAAAGCAAACACAAAGTATTCTAAAATATGACATTTTATTCACTTGCTTTGACTAAAGACTGTTTTATTCCCAGTTGTGTGCTGGATTGGTATATTAAATACTTTGTTAAAAAATGCATGAGCTCTATTGTACTGTAAAATGTAGCTGATCATTTTAAAATAGATTCAATACAGCGCTGGTTGGTCTGGGCAGATGAAAGGATAACTAAGAAGTTGGTATCACTAGTATCCTTACTGATAATCATACGCATATGTAGCAATATAGTTATTACTGTGCTTATCCAGTAAATAGCACACAAATAAATACAGCACCAAAATAGTTTTAAGCACCGTTCAAAATAAAGCACCAGTATGTATTTGAAACTGAGGGGCTTAGGCTAAGACACCCAAGAAAAAGCTGAAGTAAATATTGAGATCTTCATGAAAAGATAATAAGGAAATATCACAGAGAAGATTACTCCACAGCCAGAATGCCACTATTAAAAAGGCCTTGTCTAGAGTCACCTGTCGTCTCAAAGCTGGGTTGGTAAATATAAGAAAAAATGCCACATAACCGCGACTATTTTAATTTACTGAATATTATATAGTGAGTATATTTATATTTACCTCTGAATGTGCCTTTTCTTCAGCCTAAAGGGAAGATAAAGTAGTTATTTATAAAAACTTTTTAATATTTTGTGAATTCTTTATGAATGTTTATATCAATCAACTTTATTGATTTAGTCTATTGACCATATCAAGTATGAATGTTTATATTTGCAAAACTTTAATACTGTATGGTTTTTTTCCCCCACATTCTTTTTTTGTTTTCACTCTTCAAGTATCTTTAAAAAGAATACATAGACACACATGCCTGGAATCTACATGATTATCAAAAAAAGAAAAGAAAAATATCAAAACAATTTAATTAAGCTTTTTGGCTTAACTAAAAATGAACTCCCAGGTATAGCTGTAGATAAGAATTAGAATGAAAATATAAACTGTAAATACTTCTGAGTCTTTTAATAACTTGGAATATTATCAAAGTTTTGGGTTACTGGCTGCAATTCTATAAACATTCACCTGGAAGCAAGTCCAAATGAATTTAATATACTTAAACTAAATAGAGGTTCAAAGGATGTCAGCATAAAATACTTTTAAAGCCTACCAATGCTACCATAAACCTACATGCTTTATTTGTATTTTGGACAACTTATTTTAGAAAGACTGCCCAAATAATGTCTAGTGAAGAGCTATACAGAAATTTCCATAACAAAGACTATTATTCTTAAAGCTATAGTTAAGGCAACTGAAGTTGTGTCTCCCCCTCTACTGAACCCAGGATTATGAACAGGAGAGATGTACAAAACCATTTAACCTCAGAACATGCCTATCCAAAAAAAGCCATTTTGAGTTTTCTTCTATGAAACAAAACACTCATATTCTGAGAATTTGATTCCAAGTATAAAACAAAACAGTGTGAAGCGTGAAATAAAAGTGTGCAGTTTCAAGAGTTGCCACATTGAGTGTTCCAGCTGTTCTGAGTATTGCAATTGGGCTAATGTTTTATGGCTTGCAATTGGGCTGCTTTTTTCCAAACTCTTTCCAGCCCAGACCACTCATCTCCCTGCTGTTCTCACAGCTTAGACTGGATCAGTTAATTCTGGAACAAAACACAGGACCAGGCAGAAGAGGGGTGCTTTGTGTGTGCTGTTTAAGTTATGATGCTTTTGAAAGACTCAAGGATATTTTATGAACTTCAAAACACAATATTTAAAGTAAACAGATAAAAGCAGAAGCAAGAATAAAAAGGAAAAAATGAAAACAGGTTTTACCAAAGTTTACATTACTCAAAAGATAATGATATAATGAGTAAAGGAGGGTGGCTGATTATCTGATGTACCATTGAAGCAAAAGCAAAAATCCTCTTGTACCTCTTATCATGACAGTCTGTACACTGAAATATATTTGTTGTTTTAATGGCATAGAATTAGGACACTTTAAACATGCATATGAAAGAAGTAGAGAAACACAGAATAAACTTATAGAATAAATATTTTTTGTCCAACACTGAATTTAAACCTTTTGTATGATGTTTCCATTTGAGCACCACTTCTTGATTAGGAACTGCACAACTGAATGAGCTTTACCCTAGTTGTCTATGAAGATCAGCAGGGGTATTGCTGATCAATTATTATGTCCTTCAAGAACAAATCACACTGTAGATTTCAAATCCAAGAGAATGCCATGCCGCTAATAAAACGTACTTCAGCTTCCATTATCACAGTTAGATCCTCAAACAATGATGAAAAAGTATTATCAAGTAGTTGAAAAGTGAGATAGGAGAGGGTCAAGTTACTGAAATCTTGAAAAGACTGTCCTTGACTGATTTTTCTGATGTGATGGCATATAAGTCCATTAATACATTTATTTATTTATCATTTGATTAGAGTGGTTGTATGCTGCCAACGTTCTTAATGGTGTCAGTTAATATTATTATTAATTGTATGATGTAAGTGTAAATTGCGAGCTTCTGAATTTTTCAAATTATCCAAGTTATTGTGAAAGCACTTCTCACACTGTCTAAGGAAACAAGCTGATACTACATCAGACTGTTACCAAACCAAAGAACAGATGACAACTGTATTCCCAACCAAAAGAGAATTGCTTCTAGCCCTCTATGTAAAAGGGGCAAGGAAAAAAAAATGTAAAACAAACCATCAAAAACAAAAACTACACGCTGATTATTCTAAATAGAGCTTGGACTTTGCTAGAATTCTTTTGTAATGGCTTCTTAGATTTTCTGCAGTAAATTATCTGAAGTTGTTGAATTCTTTTCGGCTTGTTTCATTAATTTCAACTCAGCCTGCTGAGGAAAAGGCTGATAATAATATCAGTATAAATTATGGTTGGGGATTTTTTTCCCCTTCATGTTTATATTTTCTTTTTACTGAGGAAAAGGCTGATAATAATATCAGTATAAATTATGGTTGGGGATTTTTTTCCCCTTCATGTTTATATTTTCTTTTTACTGAGGAAAAGGCTGATAATAATATCAGTATAAATTATGGTTGGGGATTTTTTTCCCCTTCATGTTTATATTTTCTTTTTATTTATTTATTTATTTATTTGTAGGGTCTATGAAAGCACAGGGTTTATGACAACTGGTTTGCTAATTTCAAACCATTTACAAGACTTTAGGTGATATTTTTTTCAGTACAGAATAGGTTGTGTTAAGGCATGCAAAGCTCTAATTTGTCCCCAAATGTGAAAAAATTGCACTGCTGAAATTCAGAAATTTGATGCCAAATTTCAGCAGCACAACCCAGGAGCCCCAAAATGGATCACACATCCTGAAGCACACTGGATAACTGAGAAAGTGAAAGAATACCAAAAAGAAGTCAATTTGCCTTCGTTAATTATAGTAAGCCATTTGATTGTGTCAATCATGTCAAGTTATAGAATATGCTTAGAAA